TAAATTGTCTTATATTTTACACCTTTTTAATATTATTCCCATCTAATCCCACCAGAATCAAACTACATATCTTAGACTTAATTGTCTCATTATTAATTTAACATAAACAAAGGCTAACAGGAACATTTTGTGGAAAATAAACACCAAACATACCCTGTTTACCATGACTGTAAATGCACAAGTCTGCTGGAAGCTTTTTAGCCCTTGCAGATCCTTAAGATGGAGCAAGTTACAGCTCTTCTTGCTTAAAGGTGCCCTTCAGCATGCAAGTAATCCCAAAAGAATCAGTGGGTTGCTTGTGGTAAACATGACTTTGAGGAAGGAGGAGGATTCCGGAGCATCGTACATTTTTTTCATATTTCCTCGGATAATTAAAGGTCAGGAAGTCTCTGCTATGACAAGCACTGGATCATAAACAAGAGCAGGGTTAATGGCTTTGGTTTAATTTTAACTGTTTTAATGGGATGCATGATGCCACCTTGTGTTCGCTGTCCTCTGGTTTGGAGCCAGTAATGGAAGTTAAAGCAGACTGGAGGCCTGAAGAGAGTGAACACACACTCAATTATGAGGTTCTCAGTATACAATAGGATCAGTGGAGCTGTAGAATGTAGATAGCGGTACAGTAGGTGAGAAGAATGATTATTGCACTGATCAAAAGGACTTCAGCTCTGCTAATTGCTCTGGTAATGTTCCCAGCACAGTGGTGGGGGATAAGACTTCTATCTCCAGAGACTGCGGGGACAGGCACATTTACAGACTGTCCCCAACACACACAGAGAGCTTAATATGCTGCATCGACTGATCCGACTCTGCCTTGATCCTCCCCCTGTAGAGCACAGTTGATCTGTGATGAGCCGCAGAGATAATGAGGAGAGCCGTACCTGGATGGGAAAAAGAAATCGTCCGGTCAACCAGCCACAGCACCAACCACCGATGCAGCTTGGTTCTTACTTAATTAGATTTAACAACTGGCATCAATCAAGGCAGTGTTTATAATATCACGAATGCGATGCACATGGATTGTATGGCTAAAGATTGGAAAGTTAAAGCACATTAAAGTTATTGGATCTCTTGCATTGTTTTTTTTCCATCAAAGTGGTACCAGTTGTTGAGCATAGCTGGTTCTAATGGTGGTCAAATGGTCATGGGAAGTTTTGTTTTTTACCAGCTCTGTTGATTATTAAAAAGGCAGAAAGTGATAATAAAAGTAACAATAAAGAAGTATACCAATAATAGGTAGCCAAAAAGCTGAAACAGCAGATCTATATCTGGTTTTCACTACATGCCATGGCGTACTAAACAGCAGAGTGATGAAGCTAGCTTGCATTAATTCACTACTAATTTAGACTCATCAGGATACATTTGGTAGTTATCTGTAAGACACAGTTTTAAACTGGTTTTATCTCCACACTGAACAACAAAATAGATACAATTACTCCTTATTCAGGGAAGTCTTGCTCACAGATGTGAAGTTTTTACATCAGGTGTCCTCAGTGGTCTAGTTGTTAAGAAAAACAAAGAGGGGGATGTTGGAAATTAAAATTTTTTTTGGAAGCATAAATAGCCTAATTAATATAGTCTATGAATGTAAAGCAATATGCATGCTGTGGTTGTTGCATGTCAGGTATGCCGGTCATTGACTGAAAGGCACCTTTCAGTAGAACTGCATTCAGTCCCTGGACTGGCATGGCTATCACTGGCCCTAAATAGTTTGGGACTAAAGGCTGATTTATACTCAGAAACCAGGTCGTCTGTATGTGTGTCGCAGTGAATGCAAATGTGCCTCCCACCCTGCCGTCGACACTGTTACACCTCTCCAAAATTGTAGGTGATTCTCGCTCTTTTTCGCCCTCATTGTCCCTTTATTGTCTGACAAACTTGTCCCCACTTCCTCACCGCCTCAGCCGTTTCTAGATCCACAGCTAGTTCCTGATTGTTCCTCTCGTGGCGTGGAATAACATAGCGCAGACCATGCTTCACTACTGGGCATAAATCAAAAATATATGCGACAAGCTCACTGCGACACACTGCTGCGAGGAGTAGAACCAGCCCTTATTTTTTTAAGAAGGGGGATGCCATCCCCCCTCATCCCCCCTCAACTCAGGTACTGGGTGTCCTTCCTGACACAACTGGCATTCAAAGCCCTTTCCTCTGTATGAAAAAGGAACAATGTACAGAACAATATAAGAATGTTTATCTGTGTGTTCCAAGTATTATGAGTCTCCCATCTGCAGACATTCACACCTTACAGAGGTGACAGGGGCCCATAATCTCAGTCAGTGAGAGTTTTGAAAGCACAGTGAAGAAGAGCAGGTAGAACAATATATGTGTTTATTGCAGCTGACATCTCCAG